CTCACGCAAACCTAACCCTGGTTCACGACCTGCTTAGTCAGAAACCTGCAGCACCTCCTCAGATGGAACTTGGGAGCTGGAAGAGGACAAGGGGACGTACAGATCTTCTGGATCGTTCACATCGATGGACACAGAGCAGTGGGTTTGGTTGGTGCTGACAGAGGAGGTGGAGTCGTCAGAGTTCATGCTGTCAGACTGGGAGACGTAGTTGTACTCACGCACAGGGCAGACCTGCTCATTGTAGCTTGCTTTAAAATTCTCTTTCAGACCTTTGGAGAGCTGAAACCAGTCCTTAAAGAAGTGGGGAAAAAATCTTTACATTAATTTGACAAATAAATGCAACAAACTGGATTTTTGAGTTACAATTGTTTAATGGGTAACTCCTTCCCCAGAGCTCTACGCTGAAAAATCATTTGAACACAAGAGTATTTATATTTTTAGCCATCAAGTGGTGCTGTTCTCAGTCTACTGGTTCACCTCTTGATCTGGACAATTTCATGACTATTAAACTGTCTGCCAGGACTTCTACAGACATTTAAGGTTCCCAGAAGATGTGAACTAATGCTTTGGTGCTCTTTTCTACTAATACTGAATGGACTATCATGAATCGTGGCATTATCATTAACATCAAAGCACTGTGATACCCAATACGGTCTCATACAGCCACTAACATGCATATTTATTACTCTTCATTTTATTCTTTTAGTATCTTAATTAGTTTTCTAGCTTTAGAAATCTAGTAAGAAATCTTCTGTGACTGGGAATTGGAAGGATAAGACTGACCTCTGGATGTTACTAACCTCAATGTCATGAAGAATCGGGGATGGTTTGGGAACTGCAGGGATCAGGATGATTTTGAGCCTGTATGGGAGGTAGGGACACTGTTACTCTCGGTTTTTCATAACAAGAATATCTGCATTCACTTTGTTCACGCTAACACCTCAGCACTGTAACTGAGTGGGGCTGAGCTTTCCGGATCAGGAATCCGAATGCATGATGCAGGACATCCAGTAAAAGTCAAATTTGCATTCACAGTTTGTACATGGATTGGTAGCACACAGAACAAAAAACTCAGGCAAAGAGCAAAGAAAACAGATGACAAGAACTTAAAAGATCAATCAACAAAGAGCAAGCTGGGGCAAAATGCAAGAAGAGGGAAAAGAATGGATTTGGGAAAGCTCGAAACACCAGTGTTTGGAAACCCTGACTACAGTAACAACCTGGAAACAATAAGCAGACTGGATACTTTAGCTGAGGTAAAACAGGAAAAAAACAGGAAGTTAAAACAACCAAGACACAAATAATAGGTGATGTCTGGGATGGATAAGGGGGAAGTGTTGCTGTGACTAAGCTTATGTCAGCCAGCATCATCTGGGGTTTTTAAGCCTCGGGCAGAAAAGCCTGTCTGCATGTCTTACAGGTGATAAACCACATTCCTCTCTAAGACGTGTGCCAGTGGTCCAGTGGTCCACTCACCAGAGGCCCACCAGCACTGTTTGTGTTGAACCCTTTTGGGACCTAACTGAAGGTAGAGGCTTACAAGTAGCCATGGCATGGCGACCCTAACCCTAGTTTTGGTGATTACTCAGCATCCTAAGTAAATTCCACAGAATTTGAGGATAAAAAAAATCTTGTGCAAACACTTTTTAAGGTCATGAACACAGTGGGCATTTGGGTTGCCGTCATATGCTGGTTCCAATTCTAATCTACGATCACAAAATCGCATGGCACACCTAAACTGACTTCGTGGCACATCAGTTGGATCTGTGATCTGATCACAGATCAATCATCTGATTTATGGAAGAACCCACCTTTCACGTTGCAGTAACATCACCACCAGCAGGATGAGGGTGATGGCACCCACCACATAGAGCAATGTCATCCACAGAGGCACTGAGTCAGAGTCTGTGAGGAAGAAAAAAGAAGAATATTATTTGTATAAATCTTTTAGCTCTAAATATTGGGGCACGCATTGTTAGGAAGCATAATTCTGGATTTTAACCAAGCATGTTGGGGTCAAACAGTAACTGAAATAAATCTAAAGTTCTATACGAACATAATTTTTTATTTCTGAAAACTACAGAAAATAAGTCAGCTATACATAAGAAAAAAACATCTGCCGTGTTTAAGCAGTCATTCAATTACATTTTTGGGGAAAAAACGACATCTTTTCTTCATAACATGTAGAATTTTTAACCTATGCTGCTGTTGGATCCCCAGAACACAGGTTCACTCCAATCACTCCAGAAGTCAGACAATCCACAGCCTTCAACTATTCTGTTCCGCACTTGCAGCTCATATCGGGAACTTCCTGAGGGCGAGTTGATGCAGTACTTCTGTATCTCGGGGCTAACTTTAGAGAACTAGAAAATCAGATGGATTTTAGAAAACACAAGAAGAGAGAACAAGAAGGGGCAAACAAAGCAATAAATTAAAAAGGATGAGAGAAACTCTTTTCCTACCTCCCAGTTATTGTTGTTTGTCCTGAAGCGGACCTCACTCTCCACACAATGTAGATGAGCAGGAGAAGTGTGGTTCCAGTAAAACCACAAGTTAAAGTCTGATCCATTGAGAACAGTCAGGTTGGTTGGTGGATTTAACTTGACTGAAAAGATACAGACGTGTAATAACATGAACAAACATGCCAGTATACATTATATTTTAAGGCCTCTTTCATGTCAGAATACCCACAATTTTCTTGGAAATTTTTTTTAGATTTAAGCAAAAGTGTAAATAAAAAAAATCCCAATAATTACACTAATTTTTCCATCATTATTTTATTTGTTATTTTAAAATACAGTTATGTTCCAGGCCAGGGTAAATACATACCTCGGTTTTTAAGTCCATGTGTCTCCTTAAATCTATCCTTGCCATGTACCAGCCTGGTGTTAAAAGTCATGAATCTGTCGCCAGACTCACATGGCTGGATGCATCCAATGTTCATGTTGTTCTCTGTCAAATACTGTGGGCAGCTTTTTTCTTTCTTATTGAAGAAACTGTGTAGAAATAATAATAAAAAACAATCACGCAAAGTACAGAGCCATATCTACTTTAGTATTCATCATGACCAAATATGTTCATGGTATGTTCATCATTTATTCAAAAATGTGTTGTTGTTGTTTTATTTGTTAGGGCCTAGCAATTAAATAAGTTTAGCTGTTAAGTTTATCAGAAAAATAGAAGAATTTTCATTACATCTTCCGCTGAAGCACAACCAGCCTAATTCTAATCTGATGAATTCAGAAGACATCACTGAGATGTCCCACTGCTGTTATCAGCGGTTACCCACCTACTATAGAAGGTGTAGTTGACCTTTGGTGTCCCCTTCTTATTCCAGGTACAGGAAACATTTTTCAAATTGATAATCAAGCAATCCACATCTGTTAAAAATATGACCAATTTGAGAAAATGATTTTCAAAAACTGATAAAGGTTAGACATATAAATTCTACATAACAGTAGAGTCAAACACCCATGACCTTAAACTGATATTAATTAATTTAGACAGCAATTATTTTTATATCAAGGTACAACAACGCAGGTCCTTTCTTCATAACTGAGTCGCTGTTTTAAGGAGGCTGATCAAATACATATTGAATGCTAGCCGCGCAGGAGATAATATATGTAGATCTGCCAAAAACAGACTCACTGACTATTCAGACACTTGTACTCAACCTAAAAAAAATATGTCATCAGTAGACTATAATTTGTAATAACTTCGATCTTGTTTAATTGATCTTACCAGGGGCTTCTATGGCAAACACAGGTCCGATCAGACAGAGAAGTAGAAGCAGTCTCGTCGGCATCATGGCGCACCAAAACAGGATGTTAAGAGTACTTTTGCAACGTTACAACTCCGACTGTTGCTGTTTGTCTGACGTAACTGAGCCGACTTTTGCGGTGTTGTTTCTCATCAGTTCCTGTAGTTAGACCAAACACTGCGATGATTTATCACTTCCTTGTAACATAATTAAAGTTGACCTCAGACAAACAGGAACAACAATATTCAGAAACTAAAATATATTGTAGGCCTGAACCTACACTTACAAAAAATAAATGAATAAATAAAATAGTAACCTATAATGCAATAATTAAATATGAATCAAGTTTTGGCTATTGTTTGTAATAGCCATCTATTATCTATCTTAGCCTTTTAACAGAAATAGAGACCAAGTAGCGACAAGACTTGTGTCTTACAGGTATTGTCTGAAAAATGTCCAAACAAAGGCAAAAAAAGTTACTGAACAAAGTTATCTAGTACGTGTCTCAAACTACATGAAAAACACATTTCTGACCGACTCTGTGGTGACATGGTGGAGTGATATAAATACAGCAGGGCTATATTTACTCATATTCAGAGCGAGGGTGTCAGCATTCAATAGTAAGAGAATTAATCTGAAAACTCTGACTTGGATCTACGGGCTATTTAAGCAGTGCTAATCTGCTTTGCAGCACCTGTTAGGCTTTGCTGCGAACGTGGCGCCATGTGTGAGTGTGGAAGTGCTGTGAGAGAGAATGAGTAAGCCTTTAACTTACTTCTTTTAAATAATTTAAATAATTTAAGCATCTTTTTTTTTTTTTTTTACTGGGGGGCGGTGATCTGCTCAGCCTCTTGAAAAAATAGCCTTTGAAAAAAGTAATAAAAAGAGAGCAACGGTTACTTTTTTAAGTGCGGAACTTGAAAGAATTTGCTAAAAATATTAACAGGCCACACATGTTTGTGTTAATATTCACCCCTCCTCCTTTAAGTAGGTATAAATTATTGTGACTTTATACTGCTTTAATATAAATTCACTATAATTTACAAGTTTCTTACTTTTTTAAACGACGCTATCAGTTTCCATTTTTTTCATGTCCATTTTTAGTGTATTTTATGAGTGGATTGATTGTGCAACCTTCACGCGTTTATGTGTAACTTTGCCCTTCACACTGCTTAAGCAACGTGACGAGCTTTTATTTTGAAGAGCCGGAAGTCCCAGTGTTTTGGTAACGGCAAGGAAGGACCTGTCATTTACCCTGGTCCAGCTAATTTCTAATCTAATCAGCTGTTTCCCGGCAAAAAAAACCAGCACTAATTTAACAACAAATGTAACTGTTTGGACACAGAGACAAAATGGGATTCACACGGAGTCGCTTTCTTGGCGGTAAGCCGTCGAAAGCGCCGCTGCTGCTGCCTTTTCTGCTCACAGTCCTGCTCGTCGGGAGCCAAGGCGACGGCGGTGCGATGGACAACGGCGCAACTGAGAGGATAGCAGAGGAAAGCCACCGACAGGACAGTGCCTACCTACTGATATTCATAATGCTCTTGACGCTCACCATACTAACCATATGGCTTTTCAAACACCGCCGATTCAGGTTCCTGCACGAAACGGGGCTTGCCATGATCTATGGTAAGGACACCGAGCTAGCCCTCATATCAGTCCATTAAACGTAGCTTTAATGCTAGCTGAATAATTTGACAGGTAAATCTCACGTATCTTGGGCAGCATACTTCTAATCAGAGTGATATCCCTAATAAAAAACAGTTGCAACAGAATACACGATAATGGGTAGTGTATTGCAACAATAAATGGCAAACAAATGACTAGAGATGGGCCCTATAATTCCTATTTATAGCTATTAAAGTATCCTTTCCTTTCAAAATAATAAAGCTCACTTCTGTAAGAATAATTCTCCTATCAGTATTGGTTGATTCAACAGTTTTAAATGCAATCTCAGCCTAATTTCCTCCTCAAATAATAGTTAACTTCAAATCCTGTGCTGCCTGTTCTGATTTCACTTGCTCTTTTCTCTTTTTCCACTTTCCCAAAGGACTGTTGGTGGGTGTGATCCTGCGGTTTGGCATCCACGCCCCCCAAAGCATGAGCGACGTGATTCTCGGCTGTGCCGTTAACGGCAGTCCTGCCACTCTCTTGGTCAATGTCAGCGGACGGTTCTATGAGTACACTCTGAAGGGGGAAGTCGGACAGGGCAAAGGTCACCAAGTGCAGGACGATGAGATGCTGAGAAAGGCAAGGGAACAGATGGTGGAGGGTTGAAGTATTGGCCGTTTAGTGTGCATGTCTCACACTAAACAGTCTGTTAAGCGAGACATGTATGTCTCATAATGTAATGAAAATGGATGGATGGCAATTAAGTGCCTAACTAATCTTACTGCTTTCCTCAGGTGACCTTTGACCCAGAGGTGTTTTTCAACATTTTGCTGCCTCCCATTATTTTCCATGCAGGTTACAGTCTGAAAAGGGTAAGAGTGTCAAAAGGTTTTATATAAAGATTTATGTAAGTATGTGTTATTAAATATATAGCTGTAAGGGTTTATATTTGTCTTTAATGTTTTCTTTTTAAGATTATTCATTTGTTCGTAGCCTCTTTCTTAACCCCTTAGCAGTCCTATTAGTCCCCTAAACCATCCAATGTCCCGTGGGCGGTACGTCCGACTGCTAACAGTTTAAAATAAACACCTGCTCTCTGTCTTTCTCAGAGACACTTTTTCAGGAACATCGGTTCCATCCTCGCCTATGCTTTCATCGGAACAGTTATATCCTGCTTTGTTATCGGGTAAGTCAAGTAAACATCTCTGAAGTTAGCTCAGAATAGTGCAGAAAATCTTAAGCCATGCAACAATAATATTGACAATAGTAACTTAGATTTATATAGCTGGTTCCAAGGTTTGTGTAGTGGAGAAAAAGGTCAGATAAATACTGGGAAGCAAGAGCATGTAGGCAAGGAGATAGATCTTTTAGGAAATATGAGACTTTCCCAGGAGCTGGTGTGGGTGATGTGTTACTGGGACTTTGTACAAGTAAGAACTCTAGGAGCGGAGTTCTGAAGATACAGTAGTCCAGGCGGGAGGTGATGAAAGCATGAATGAGGGTTTTAGCTGCAAAGTCTGAGAGTACTGGCCACAGTCTGGAGATGTTCTTCAGGTGGTAGATGGCAAATTCAGAGATGGATTTAATATATGATGTGAATGAGAGGGTGGAGTCCAGGATCACATCCAGGTTGCAGACCTCTGAAGATGGTGAGAGAGAGTATCCACCCACCTTAAGGTGCAGATCGGCCCAGTACATACCACACTGCAGACCTTGCATTCCTACATGTGATCAGATTGTTGCTGAATAGTAGTGGTTTGAGTGTTTGTTTGTTTTTTCTCTCCTAGGCTGATCATGTATGGCTTTGTGTCCTTCATGAAAGTCGTGGGGCAGCTTGATGGAGATTTTTACTTTACTGATTGCCTCTTCTTTGGGGCCATCGTTTCAGCAACAGACCCTGGTAGGTACCCACATCCAAAATTAACAGAGAAGATAAGCATCTGATTCCATTTTCAACAGCTTTCCTGTTATCAATTAGATGTTTTATACTCTTTATTTCCTGTGTCTCAGTGACAGTCCTCGCCATCTTCAATGAGCTAAAGGTAGACGTGGACCTCTACGCTTTACTGTTTGGGGAGAGCGTCCTCAACGATGCCGTCGCCATCGTCCTCTCCTCGTACGTATTACTGACGCACTGAAGCATCGGTGCCACATTAACGAACAATTTTTAATGCCCGCCACAAAACAATAAGTGCTTTTTAAGAGATATTAGTTGATATAATTGGTGCAATGTTTCTTTCTGAAGCTGTAGCAGTTTAGGCTCAATCAGCTGGGGCTTTTTGCTAAAGTAATTACATTTTGGTGAACAATTCAGCTCAAACTGTTGGAACCTGAGTTAAATCTGAGTTAAATAAATTTTTATGCAGAAGAAAAACTGTTAATTTTGTGTTTGATTCCTTCAGTTGGGCTCCCAATAGTGCCAGTTTTTTCATATTCATTACAGACAGAAAGAACAGATACAGTTGTAATTATAATTTCTAGTTCTTTTCTAATTAGTCCCATAAAACCTGTGCTTGCATTGAGCTAACTGTGGCAGAAATGGCTTTTTTGTATTGTACACGCATTAATCATACTAACATCAGTGCCTGTCATTTCACTGCTTACCTGTCTCCACCCATCTGTGTCATTCATCGCCTTGCCCGTACGTACGTATGTATGTAGTGTTCTCCTCCGCTTCGAAAAGCTGGGAAGGCATGGTGCTGGAGCTGTGCGCTCCGCAAGAAACGAGAGCTCACTGTTACCTGAGGTGTCCGAGGAATGGCTGGGAGAAAACCAGACAGTGACTCCTCGGTGGGTGGGTTGGTCAGGGGGACTGCGTGGTTTTTGCTTTTGTTAATATTTTAGAACCTCAGACATTAGAAGGTAGGCTTCAGGATCATCCTTCATCACCCTCCCTTTCATTCCTGAGACGCTGCAGCCCTTTCATATCCATTCCTACTTTTATTTTTGATTTTTAGATCACCCACCATTTCTAGAATCACCAGGAAACCCTTTATTCTTATGAAGTTTTTAGTCATTTAGGCTCATTAAAGGTTATTGCAGAATATTAACCTGATAGAGTTCAAATGAAGCATGCAAGACCTTTTATTTTTTCATTTATGACTGTAAAACCCAACTCCACATATTTGAAGTCTTTGCAGATATGTCCAAATCATAACCAAGTTCATCTGAATTAATGATGAGACTGGTAAGAGAAGCCATTCTTGGAGTTGGGTTGCTGCATTTGTGATTTCATTCCTGACGCTATTTTGTGAGCATGTGTTTGACCAGCTTCCCTTTCCTTAGTGAGGCCTTTTTTGTAGTAAAGCCCCACTTCCTTTTTTCTTCTAAATGGTTTTGCGTGCATGCTCTCTGTCTTCCCTGCAGCTCCATTGTGGCGTACCAGCCTGCAGGCGACAACAGCCACAGCTTTGAGGCCATGGCCATGTTGAAGTCCTTCGGCGTCTTTCTGGGCGTCTTCAGCGGCTCTTTTGCTCTCGGTGTTGTTACAGGAGTTGTGACCGCCCTCATATCCTTTCACTTGTTTCTTACCATGACATATTTTACATCTACATTCACAGGTGTGTGCAAGAGGTAAATGAATAACGATACAGTTTCTCCCTGTTTCCAGTGTATTAAAGTTGCCACGCCTCCTTGTTTGGTCCCTTAACTTTCCATCACGTCACCAAGTTCACTAAGCTGCGGGACTTCCCCTTGTTGGAGACGGCGCTCTTTTTCCTGATGTCCTGGAGCACCTTTCTCTTGGCGGAGGCCTGCGGGTTCACAGGTAGACCTGCAACAAAGTCTCCTGCATGCAGTTGTAACAACACTGCCTTCCGTATTTGATTAGCAGCTGCAGCAGTGTGGGAGATAGTGGTTTCACCTTGTGAGTTTGTGCGTGTGTATGTGCACAGGCTTGGTGACACATGCTTTCACTGGAAACTACCCTGAAGGAGTCATTTAAGTGCTCTGTGGAGGCACAGAGTCTGTGTCAGCTTATCTGTGTGTTTCTTAGGTATTTCTCTGTGTAGTATTTTGCAAAGATCAGTCAGGTCTGAGAAGTCATTGGTCTTCACAAGAAGACATCTGATATCGATCTTGTGTTAGTCTGAAGCTTCAATTAAAACACAGTTGCTGGTCTACTAAGTAAAACTGACTGTTTTACTGTCTTTTCTGGGGAGCGTGTGGCATGCTGCGATATGATGGATTTGAAGGAATTTTATCACTTGCTGTTCAAGCATTTGCATTAACAACAAAAGGTTACAACTATCTATTTGGACACTAATAATAACATTTAGAAGTTTTGTTCTCCTAAACAGGAAGATTTAGATAAGGACACAGGCTTTGTTTGCCTTCTCATGGTGCCAGTTATCCAGTGTCTAACTGGAGAATTGGAGAATACCGATTGCTGATGTGGGATGACTGTGTGTTCTTTCAGGTGTCGTTGCTGTGCTGTTCTGTGGGATCACTCAGGCCCACTACACCTACAATAATCTCTCACCAGACTCTCAAGACAGGACCAAACAGGTGAAATGCAGTATAACTTATATAATGTGCTTGATCCCATTGTTTTAAATTCATTTTCAAGCAGCAGTTGTTGCTGCGCTGTTGCATTTAAAGATCTGGTTTGCAAAGAATTACATCTGTGAAATATCTTGAAAGGAAGGATGAATTACAGCTTCTCTGCTTCTTGGGCATTAGCGCAAGCTTGGTTATACTTTTTGCCAAATTTGCAGAAAGTTCTGAGAAATTCACGAGCTGCTATCATTTATTCACAGAAACAGTGAGCTGATGGAGCTGATGTGGCCGACTGCTCCGTGTCCTACAAACTCAAAGCTCTGTCTTCTGTTGAAGCTAGGACGTCACAAAGCTGCACGTTCATATCAACTAAATGTTAATAACCAGTTACTACAATCATCAGTATCAGTTCATGATAATGCAGGATGTTTATAGATATGAGTTTATCATAGTTATGTGTTTCTGATGAGTTAAAGGTGATATGACACGCAGAAACTTGTGGTCACCTGACTCAAAAGCAGCACTGAGATAGAGATATGACGAAAAAAGTGTCTAAGAAGCAAATGTGGGAAATGGCTTTCAAGTGTCTGAAAACCAGCTTAAAATATTTACTTCGGCTTTGAAATGTTTAGTTTGCGCTGGTAAGGCACAGCTTTTACTTTGAAGGTCTCTTTTAACGACTGCACGGGCAGCAGCTGCAAAGTATTTGCAGAAAATCTGCATCTTCCATGCAAACTACAGTGAACTGCGCGAATCTGTCCAGAGCGAGCACAAGGAGGTTTTTGGTGCCAACAACCTCCATTAATCATTAGCCAACTGGACAGTGAGTACATATTTTTCCCTAGTGACTAAAGGTTGCCAGTGGGTCACCAACCAACCTATAGTCCTGCGTGACTAGGCCTAGGGGAAGACATGTCCAAAACATCAGATGATTCGCAACTACATGCACACTCTCATGCACAGTCAAAGTTAATTAAAAGCTGACGCTTCATTGTAGTGTGCGAGCTGGAAGAATGTTTATGAGGGGACTCTGTAATACAGGTTATTGATTTTCACTGCATTCTGTCACTGACAAGCATGTTCTGTTGGTGTAGTGGTTAACATGTTTGATTGGCAAGCCCCTGCAGAACAGGCGCATCAAATGTAGCTTCATTAGAAAATGTGACAAGCATTTTTTAAATGACTTCTCCCGAACTCTGGGTCTTCCAGAGTCGTCATTTTATGGTGCGCAAGAATATTTTGGAAATTTTTAACTGTTTCAAATAGAAGGAAGTGTAAAAACTGGGGAAGTAGCATATATAAATGAAATTCAATATCCGCTTTTCTCATCCCCTTCAGTTGTTTGAGCTGCTGAACTTCCTGGCAGAGAACTTCATCTTCTCCTACATGGGTCTGACGCTCTTCTCCTTCCAGTCGCACGTCTTCAACCCTCTCTTCATTGTCGGAGCCTTCGTATCCTTTACTCTGCTGGTGGTTAAGGAGTCAGTGGCTCTGCGGTGCATCAGGATATAGGATAAAAACCTTTTGTTTCATATGCCTTGAAAAATATTTGATATATATTTATACCATTACAATTGAACATCTATTTCATGTTTAACCAAGGCCAAAAATAACATCACGGACACAAGCAAATCAGCATATCAAAGCTTAGTCACCGCCGAGCTGGTGTTTACGTCTACGTGTGATTATTTTCCATTCCAGTGTTAGAGTTCCTGTGTTGTGTCCTTGACCTTCCTGCGCTGTGTAGGTGGCAGTGTTTCTGGGCAGGGCTGCAAACATCTACCCTCTGTCCTTCCTCCTCAACCTGGGCCGCAAGAACAAGATCGGATACAACTTTCAGCACGTTATGATGTTTGCAGGTACATTAGCATAAAGCCGTTTATCAGGCTTGGACTCAAACCATGTTTCTCCTCTTAAACCTTCAGTTATATATGTCAACGGTTCATTAAGTACGCTGAGAAAACTTTTGGAACTGCTCATTAGCATTGCTACATATACCAGCAGTCGGAGAAGCAAAAACACCCACACCATCGCACAGCACATGAGCTTGCCAGGAAATAACTGAAGTAGTTAAGCCAAGAACAGGATGCATTTATTATTAACTTTTATTAAGTTAATAATAAACAGACAAAAGGCACGCTGCCGCACTTTAATGGGGAATGCGCACAGGAAGAGACCAGCAAAGAGGAACGTTAATAAAGTTCAGTGACTTGTAGAGCTGCTATAGTTAATATTCATTAGGTGTGGTTTCAGTTTGAGTGTCAAGGCTGTGATGGTTTGCACATGTGCAGAGGAGCAATGGTGGATATATTGGACAAAGCTATGTTAAAGATGGGGCTTCCAGACTTCAAGACAATGTAGTGAAGGAGGACACGGAGAGGGTTGATGTGACAGAGGGGGATGCTAGAGATAGGGAGAGGCAACTAGTGTGCGGTGGCAACCCCTAAAAAGAAGGAGGATTTTTCATTTGTTTCCACAGTGGGTGTACATGTTTCAGTTTTGATTTTATCGTCTAAAAGAATTCAGTTGAAGTTTCATTTTCATTAGTCTGAGTGGGAGTTGTGTATTTTATTAGCATATTGTTGGTGAAAGTTCAAAGGGTAAACGGCTCACATTCACAGAGAGGCTGTAGTTATTTACACCAAAGCCTCTTTAGACTTAATGAAAGTGACAAAGACTGAAACCAAACTTTTTTTAATACTTGACGTCGGTCACCTGCACATCTGGAGCCTGAAATGTCCACCTTCAACCAACGATCAGCTACACATCACTTAATATGTGAAAGATGCTCTGGTTTTTCCAGTTGTTTTCACACTACAGGGCACCTGCTTTGTTTCCCGCAGACTTAACCTAAACCTGACCGCGAACGGTCTTCTCAGAATGACTTGCATTCTTTGGACTTGCTTTCTTATTTGCTTACATATGCCTATGTATCCACAACATGAGCAATAATTAATAAAACGTTTTCACCCATCCTTGTTTTATTTTTCGTCTCCTCTAGGTCTGCGTGGGGCGATGACCTTTGCACTTTCCATTCGAGACACAGCGACTTACGCCCGTCAGATGATGTTTTCAACCACGCTCCTGATCGTTTTCTTCACTGTGTGGATCTGTGGTGGTGGCACCACACCCATGCTATCTTTCATGAGCATACCGTAAGCCGGCCTCCGTGTGTCTTACTGTTTGTGCTGCATCACCTCCGCTGAACTTTGTCAAAGTACATGTTTTTGTTTTGTTTTGTTTTTTTAGGGTGGGTGTGGACTCTGATCAAGACAACGCTGTGAGTTGGTGTTGAGCGCCGTATTAATTTGTCTGATTTTGTGATGAAATAAAAATGCACGCCATGTCATTATCATCCTTCTGCTGAACAGAATTCAGGCGCGTTGGATGGGTCACAGCGGAGGAGCACCAAACACGAGAGCGCCTGGCCTTTTAGGATATGGTACAACTTTGACCACAAGTATCCTTTCAGCCTGATGTGTTCACCTGTGGCCACCAGAGGGCGCTCTTTACAAACTTCTAGCACGTAACAACACAGGAGGTTCAGAGATAGAGTGATGATATTTATTTTACTATGTTTTATATCGTGCTTTTCACAAAGGTGTTTGTAAAATGTTAAACCTTTTACTTGAACATTTCAGCTAAAAAATGATAGTAAACCATAAAATGTGTTTTAAGTTTCACAGTGATGTTGTGAAACAGAAATATTCCTTTACTTGCTGCGGTTGAAAACCTGGTTGAGTCATTATTGTTACAGCTGAACCAGACTGCTTTAAAATGGTTATATTGTGCACTCCTTGACACGAGCTTGTTCACCAGCTACCTGAAACCCCTCCTGACCCACAGCGGTCCGCCTCTCACTGCTACTCTGCCTGCATGCTGTGGACCACTGGCTCGATGCCTCACCAGCCCACAGGCCTATGAGGTTTGGACATGAAAAAGAATTATGAGTTATTCAGATTTACAGGACTGTAAAAGTCTTCAGCCACCTCTCATTTATTTATATTTTCCTTCTAAGGAGCCAGGCTTTCTTGTAACTTTTTTTTTCTTTGAAGTGCTCTTTGAGAAAATAGTTCTCCAGACTTTCTGAAGGCTTCTCAAAGTTTTTCTTTTGACATTGGCTGCTTTTTCACTCCCTTTTTTCCAATGAAGTCCATGTTCCTGACCATTTTCAGAGGAATGTTTTTGTAGTTGTTCTTTGTTTTTGTTTTTTTAGTACACTTAAAAATTATCTATGAATTATTCAAGCAGAACAAACTTACCTAAACTAAGAGAACTTGGCAAACAAAAAGATTTTAAATTGTATCTTTAGGCAGTCTGTCACAAAAAACACTATTTGTTATTTGTTTTTAGTTTAATCTATAGAAAAAGCCATGTAAATTTGAGGATTAAATAAGAAGTGTTAACTCTAAAAGAAACATCTAAAGCAGATGCTTAGTATCTGATAATCATTTATAGGACATAGAAAAGAAATCAATAAAGACCTGACTCAGGACCTGAGACATCCATCTGGACCTTCATTTGATCATTAAAGGCTCATCAGTAATGGTCTCAGTGGAAGGGTGCCTGACAAGAAGCCCTTCTTAAGGAAGAGTGACAAGGAGAAAAGGCTGAGTTATGCCAATTACACAAGAACTGGACTCAAAATCAGTGGCAACAGCTCTGATGGAGTGAGGAACCCAAGTTTGCAAACTTCTGTTTTAACAATGTGTATAGAGGAGGTCAGGAGACGGGTACAACAGTGAGTGCTTACGGCCGTCTTTAAAGCACAGTGGAGGCTCTGTCATGGTTTGGGGCTACATTTCAGCCAGTGGTGTTGGGGATCTTATCAAAATTGATTGATTGAATTATGAAAGCAGGTCAGATTTTGATCTACGGGCAACAACTTCATTTGTCAGCATGACAATGATCCCAAACACACTGCCAATGGAGTAAAAAAACACAATAAAACACTTTCAGTCATGGATTGGCCTCCCCAAAGCCCAGACCTCAACATTATTGAAGCCGTGTGGGATCATGTTGTCCTTCAGGAAGCCTGGAGAACTGTTCCTAAAGACTATAAAGAAATAACAGGAAAGCTTCTTAGAGTTCAGGCTGTGTTGAAGAATGAAGGTGGTCACACCAAATATTGACTTACTCACTTACTTTACTTCACGCACTTTGTTTCCATGCATGTTTTCACATGTTTCAGTAAATCGCGGCACCTATTTCCCATTTTCCCAACAAAACATAAAGAAATAAGGCATGACTCACGACTTTTGCACAGTACTGTACATGCAAACGTACTCATACTGATCGAGGATAATTCTTGATTTTGATTAAGTTTCGTGCGGAAGCATTCACGGCCGCCTCTTCTCTTCCCGCTCACCAGAATGAAGGTCAGCTCCATGACGACGACTCTGACTTCATCCTGAACGATGCCAGCGTGAGCTCCATGTACGCCGACGTCACCGTCAGCACGGACGCGTCCGGATCCCGCACCGTCAACCCCAAGCACTCCTCGACCGCCCGCGCCGGGGGTGGTGTAGGTTCTTTCGATGAAGGTCTGGATCACGAGCTCTCCGTGGCAGAACACGAAGTGGCGATCCGGGGAACGCGGCTGGTCTTGCCCATGGATGACCCCGTGGAGGCCCCGACTACCGTCACCCTGCCTCCACCACCCTCCCCCCCGCGCTCCGAACCTCACAGGCACAGACTGTAAGAAAGCTGCCGCTCTGAGGACGCAGTTTGTTGTTTCCAACTTAAAAAAAAAAATACACACTATACATACGACTGATCAAAATAATGACATATTTAAAAAAACAAAACAAATGAATTCTTCGGGATTTTCAATCAAAAAGCACAGATTGATTTTCTCACCACCAATCTATCTAACATGCAGTTTTAAAATAGTTTGAGCTTGATCTAAGTCGGGATAACTGTGACACTGAATGTGACGTGAGGGACTTTTAAATCAAGAGCTTCTCGATTTTATAGGTTACATTTCACCCCTTATGAGGAGGCTTCATTTGCTCCTGTGTTTATCCCACACTGGTGATATGGCAGCGCTCTCTATAAACCTAGCTGTATACACAGTTCACATTTTTCCAGCTCCTTTTGTGTGTTTCTACCTAAAGATAAGCACCACGCATAACACTGAAGGGCGTTAAAGCCCATCTACACTACAGTTTGGTAACTAATCCCACTAACATATCCACAGACTGGCTCACTTTAACACTAGTTATTGTTCCCAGAGTTCATCAGCAGTTCAAGCATGTGATTAGGAGATTATCAAAGGAGGAAGCAAACAAAGACCTGAGCGGAACAAACAGGCAGGTACTGATTAAAGAGAACGAACTGCATCCACACCAGTGCCCAGGAGCATCTCCACCATCTTAGATTTTAGCACTGCCTCTAAATCAGTCTGTTTACGGTTTGATTTATTTATTTAACATTGATTTCTTTAACAAAATGATTTATTTATATACTGATTCATTTAGTTTATTTATTATCTATTTATTTGTATTTTTGTGTGAGATTTCTTTTTGGTGAAAGGCTCCTATTGCGACTTTTTTCCAAGGGGTGGAGGGCGTAATAAAAGCGCTACAGATTTCTTCACAGGTGGAGGCGATTATTCCTTCCTGGACTGTATGCATGTTTAAAAAAACGTCTCCTTTCTGTACTGTAGCAGAAGCTGTAACTTTATATTTGGAAACTAGAGCTTCCTTTGTGTGTGTCTGTCTGGTCTGTGTGTGTGTGTGTGTGTGTGTGTGTGTGTGTGTGTGTGTGTGTGTTCTGTGTGTGTGTGTGTGTGTGTGTATTTCGCCAGCCCCGTTGGCATATATAGATGTGGTTATTAGGGCTAATATTAGTTTATTTCTCGATTTTCTGCCTCCATCTGGTTGAGTTTAAAAAAACAAAACAAGCTTCTATGTGTTTGTGATGTCTCATCAAAGAATACTGACAGCTGGCTGAACTGTTATGAATTAAAGTGCCTATTCAGAAGCTCATTTACTTAATGTAGATTTGTACATATTTTGATTTGCTAACATGCAGTAAGGTGATTTTTTTTTTTTTTTTTAATTTAATTTAATTTTTTTGTATGATGTAAAATCTTTTCGACTGATTAGGCCATTCATTGACTGCCTGTGGTGTAACTCAGTACATTCGGTCCTAAAGAGCCCAAAGGAGTGCAAATGATATAATAAATAATGTTGTGCTTTCATTAATGGATAGAAACACACATATTTTTCAAACGTAAGCATTCTGTGATCAAAGTTCCTAAGTGAAATTTATCAAAACGCTTATGTGACATGTGAAAATGAAGTAACAATGAGCGGATTCTGAATGTTGAGGGGACGTTACTCGAGCTCCCGGATGGTGTTGTTCCCTTATTTGGGAACCAGGCTCATCAAATATGTTCTGACCTCACTGGGAGATGTCTCCTCAGATAATCCACACCCTTGTTTGTGCTCACCAGGCACGTCTCACATAGCTACAACTATTTTGATGCCTAAAGAGAAAGTCGGTCAAAATTAGACCTCGTAAAAAAATACATGGGTTTTAATTGTGCCGAGCTCCAAATGTGTTGTCTTTTTGATCTTCGAGCAGTATTGAGGTTTGAGATTCTTACACAAATGTGCACATGCACCTCTTTGAATATTTGAAATATAAAAATTTGCTTGTGGAAACTGTGTATGTGATTGTTACACCTGCAATGGGTTGATAAGTGGATGTTTTAAAAAATGTTGGAGATTATAATTTCAGATGAAATAAATTTTTTCCCTGTTTAGTCCTAAAGTTATTAACAGTGTGTTTTCAGTCTGACAACTTGTGAGTTCTACTGAAATTAAATAAAAATACTTTTAGTGATATTAAATGAAATAGATTTTTCTGCTTTTATTTATATATATATATATATA